TCCTTCTTGGCTTCAGTCTGCTAAGATTTCTTGAAGGTTTTGCTCCTTGGGTGCTGGAGTTCCTCCCTCTAAGTTGAAAGAGTCCAGAAAGGAAGCCCCACAGCCCTGAGCAATGGGGCTGGGGGGGGGGGGCAGGAGATCCCATGGAAGCCACTAATCCTAAGGATCACCCTAAGTCAGAAGCCACTTGACCACACATGAAGTGTCCAGTGTCCTTGGAGCAAAATTAGTTCTCCCTCCCTCCCTTTCCCTCTCCCCTGCCCCACACACATGCCCTCTTGTCAAGGAGGAAGAGTGACCTGACGGGACACCCCCCCCAACCACCACCTTTTAAAGTTCGGCCTCACCTGTCGCCCCTGGTGGCCCCCTCAGCCCCCGGCTCTCTGTGCTCTCGGTGGAGACGGACCCTTCCCTTCTCGAGGGACAGCGAGAGGCCTCTGCTTTCCACAGCCGCCCCGCCGGAGTCTCGGCCTCGGTTCCGTCCTGCCCTTTCTGCAGCCCACTTGTGAGAGTGCGAGGCTTTTTGTGGCCTCCGCTCTGGAGGGAGGGGAGCAGCACAGCGGTCGCTCCCTCTTGGCCTGCCGGCTGCTCTGCATGGCGAGTCTCACCTGTGTTTCGTCTCTCTCCCGCCTCCCTCAATCCAGGGAGGGCATGATCCTCAAACGCTCCGGGGGGCACCACGTCCAGGGCCTCAACTGTGCTGGGCGCCACCGGGTTTGCTACCGCTGGTCAAAGAGGTGAGTCCCTTGGTGCGCGGTGGTGATGGGGGGTGCGTGCACGGGGTGTGTGTGTGTGCATGTATTTACCCTTCTGCTCCTGACTTGGCCCTGCCCTCCTTGGCCTGCGCAGGTGGCTGGTGGTGAAAGACTCCTTCCTGCTCTATATGAAGCCCGAGTCGGGGGTCATCTCCTTCGTGCTCCTCTTCGACACGGGGTTCAGCGTCCAGGTGGGCAAGAAGCCCACGGAGACCAAGTACGGCGTCCGCGTGGACAACACCTGCAGGTGCGTTGGACCCGCCTCCCCCTGGGCTCCGTCACCTGCCCACCTGGGAGGAGGAGGAGAAGGAGGAGGAAGAGGAATAGGCTCTGCTGGAGGCCTGGATGTCGGTGGGTAGGTGGGGGAGGAGGCAGGCAGAACCGGAGCGTGCGTTTCACAGGGAAAGTACTGTAAACGAAGTGCGGCAAATTTAGCTTTGAGAGGCAGAGCGCAAGGAGCCCCAGGAGAACGCCAAAATCCTTCAGTAAAAACGAAAGCCAGTGGCTCTGGTCAGAACCACCTTTGTGAAAGTGACTGAGAGGACGCACAACAGAGCCTGCAGCAGAAGCCGGAGAAGCCTCC